TTTGAGACAGGGTCTCCTTGTAGCCCCAGCTGTCCTGGAACTCACTATGTAGAACAGGCTAGCCTCGAACTCACAAAGATCTGCCTGCCTCTGCCTCTCAAGTGCTGGGATTAAAGGCGTGCACCACCATGCCTGGCCTTACTTAGAATTTTTGAAGACAGGGACTCACTATATGTAGTCGAGAATGACCTTGAAGTCTTGGTCTCCTGGGTCCACCTCCAGAGTGCTGGGATGATGACAGGCATGTACCACCATGCCCAGGTGGGAGAATTGTATTTTATTTCAAGGTCTGCAAAAAAAAGAGTCCCTCTGGCAGACTCAAATGAGTAGGGCTGCCTAGAAGGTTAGAATCTGGTGGCACACACCTCTGTCCAGGGATTGCTTATAACATACAATATTAATGGCTGAACACATATCTAAGTAGCACTCAAATGTAGCTTTGCAGAAAGCCTGAAGTAGCTCTATAAGCCATTCCACAGAGCTCAGCTTGTCATCCCTGGTTCTAAGAGTACACTGGGGTGGAGTGGAGCTGGAGAAGAACATGCTTCCTAGATCTCCAGCAAGAATGGAGCAAGGGCCCATTCTCTCAAGAAGAAACCAGTGACACTCAGACTTGGCTGCCTGGAGCCAGAAACCGTCACTTAGCATTGTGACAGAGAGGAAATACATGCATCACCTTTGGTTTTTGTTCTTGGTTTTGTGTGTGTTTATCCCATCACTGTCCTTGAGACACCTTCACTGAGCATTGTCTGCCGCCACACACTGTTCTAACACTATTAACTTATTTAGTCCCTACCATGACTCCAGGAGATAGACTCTTTTGCAGATCAGAGATTTTAGAGTTCCTGGCTCCTGGATTCTAACCAACCTCAGGATCCCATTCTGGAGCCTCTAGACCATGAAACTTCATCCAGGCTAATTTTGGAGCTGAATTAAGGGGAGTGGCATGTCATGTATGATCTATGATGAAAAAACCCTGAAAAAAAAGTGAAGATTAAAAGCAACAACAACAACTAAAAGTAGAAAGGAGGCTAGCTGGGAAGAGAAAGGGGACCAGCAGGAGTGGGAGGGGACAAGAGAGGGTACAATGGGGGTGAATACAATCAAAATACATTGTATACATCTATGAAATTGTCACAATGAAACTTATTTTGTTTACTATTAACATATGCTATTTTTTTTAATGGTGAAGAAAATACTTTGCCTAAATAAAGTTCCCCAAGAAGAAAAGCAGAAGAAATACTTGGCAAATGGACACAGCTCATTTCCCTTGAATGATCTCATTTTGTCCATTTGTCTCTCTCTAACAACTGAGGGTGGCAAGGGGGAGGGTCTGAGAGGAGCAGAGAAGAAGAGGCAGCAAGATGGGGTGGAGGCCTATCAGCCTCTTGACCCTGAGAAAGGCTCTTCTTACAGCTTTGCGTTTCTTTGCATCCATGTCTAGGAGTAACGGTGCAGGCTCTTTCCACGGTTCCTATCATGTTTAGCTACTGGGTGAGTTCAAAACCTCAAACCATCTCCTTAGTGGAGTCCGGCTCTCCCCACAATGTGGGAAGATGACTCAAATCTCTTCTCTTCTTCTCTCCTCTCCTCTTCTCTTCTCTTTTCTCTCTCTCTCTCTCTCTCTCTCTCACCTTTTTCTCTATCTCTATTTATATCTCTATCTCTCTTTTGTCTTTTTGAGACAGGGTCTCCCTGCTGCCTTAGCTGGCCTGGAACTTGCTAGAGTTCCAGGCTGGCCTCAATCTCCCAGAGATCCACCTGCTTCTGCCTCCTGAGTGCTGGGATTAAAGGCATGTGCCACCATGCCCAGCTAGATGACTCAAATCTTAACATTGGTCCCATCAATCCCCTGCCCTGTCATCTTGTTTTGTTTGCTTGCTTGTTTATTTTTGAGACAAGATGGCCTAGGATGGCCTAGAACTCACTACATAGCTAAAGATGACATTGGCCTCCACACTCACATGCACATATTTACGTACACACACACACATACACACATACAAAACACCTGAATATGGATGAACTTATTAATTTGGATACAACTCTAACTAGGCAACTGAGAGAGCAGGAAAGTACCAAATTCCCAGCAGTGAGACGTTGAAAAAAAGAAAAAAAGGCAGGTGAGATGGCTCAGCAGGTATCTTAGTTAGCTTCTCTATTGCTGTGACAAAACACTCTGACCAATACCAACTTGGGGAGGAAAGGGTTTATTTGGCTTACTTCTCCTGGGTCACAGTTCATCACAAAGGGAGCCCAAGGTAGGAACTCAGGGTAGGAACCTGGAGGCAGGAGCTGAAGCACGGCCATGGAGGAACGCTGCTTACTGGCCTGCTCCCCCTACCCATGCTCAGCCTGCTTTCTTTCTTTTTTTTAATGTATATGAGTGTATAGCCTGCATGTATGTAAGTGCATGCATGTCAGAAGAAAGCGTCAAATCACCCAGGACTGGAGTTACAGACAGTTGTTAGTCACTCTGTGGGTGCTGGAATTGAACCCAGGTCCTCTGTAAGAGCAGTCAGTGCTCTTAACCACTGAGCCATCTCTCCAGCCCTCAACCTGATTTCTTATTCAATACAGAACCACCTGCCCATGGGTGGCACTGCTCACAGTGGGCTGAGCCCTCCCACATCACACAACAATCAAGAAAATGCCACAGGCCAGTCCAAATGGAGGCAATTCCCTAATTGAGGTCCCCTCTACCCAAATGTGTCAAGTTGACAACTAAAGGTATCTATTTCTAAAAAATTTTTTAAATATATAATAAAAAATGTAGGAAACAGCATATTTTAAAGTGAAATGGAGATCTTCTTTCAAGGGTAAAAACTCACTCAATTTTATGTCTTACAGGGTTTATACTGAGTCAATATTGTATAACTGTAATAATTCAACTGTGAACCTAAAAATTTACAGCCACTTTTGAAAGCAATGTATCCTTGCTCTGAAAATTTTTACTGATTATGTTAAAGCTACAGTGAAATGCTTCTTCTAATCATGTGGTTATTAAATTTTTAAAAAAGTGTCTCTCATGCAAGTCTAACAACGTGGTTTCACCCCTGGAGCCGATAAGGGGAGAGAACTGACTCCCAAAAGTTGTCCCTGGGGCTACAGGGAGACCCTGTCTCAAAAAGACCAAAAATAAATAAATAAATAAATAAATAAATAAATAAATAAATAAATGACTGTGAAGAAGGGAGAGTTACAGGAACTGAAATGAACCATCTGCTTCAACATTTTATAGTGTCAGAGCCTATAGGAAGGGTGGGAGGAGAACAGGTAAGAACAGGACCAGTGTGCAAACAGGCCTAGTATCCCTCAAGGACACAGACAGATGCCCTGGTGGTGGTGGCTTTAGGATCCAGTCTGACCCAGTTGGAAAGGAATGTCTGCCCTGGTGTGGCCCATTCTCATTCCACTATGATGGACCTGCGCAGTAGTTAGGATAACAGTCCCAGCAATTGCTTCTGGCTTCCATTCTTTTAATTCACCAGCAGCACACCAGAAATTCTCTTTGCTTTCACAGAAATTATGTCTTCTGTGACAAGTACCTTTTCTCAATCCATGCCTCAGTTTTCTAAGGAGTAAAATCATGAGGATGAATATTTTCAGCCAAGAATCTATGTTGTTCAGGGTGAATGTCTAACAAAGTAAGTTTTGACTGATGTAGAACCTTTCCTGTTTCCACCAGGCCAAACCTAAGGATACTTTGGAGCTGTGCCAGTTTTTAAACAACGACCTAGCTGCCACTGTTGCAAGCCACCCTCAAAGGTTTGTAGGCTTGGGAACGTTGCCAATGCAGGCCCCGGAGCTGGCAGTTGAGGAGATGGAGCGTTGTGTGAAGGAGCTAGGATTTCCAGGAGTCCAGATTGGCTCCCACATCAACATGTGGGACCTGAACCAGCAGGAACTTTTCCCAGTCTACACAGTGAGTATGCAGGTGTCACTCAACCAACACATAGCTTCAAAATTCTGAGCCTGGGCAAGCACCAAGCCAGTGATCAAATGATGACCACTGCACTGGAGGCAGGGACAGGTGACAGATATGATAAATGTAAGTACGAGATGTAGAAATCCTACCAAAAGAAGAGTGAGCCATGCAATAGAGGGAGATGATGGGATGCTTCCTAGGCCAGCCCTGAGGTAACGCAGCTCAAATCTCTCTTCTTGTATCTCTCTGGCTCTCCCTTTCACTTCATGTGGAAGCCTAAATGTCACCTTCACTGCTGGCACTTTACATAATTATGGGCGCATGCACACACATGCACACACATACACAAACATGCATTTTTATTTTTGCTGTGGAAGAAACATTTTTCAGCAATATGAAATAATTTTGAAGAGATTGTAGAAATTCATGAAAGTCTAAAGAGGAAAACAAATAGGACCTAATCGTTCCACCCAAAGATAAGTAACCACTGTTACGTTTCATTTCATTTAAAACATTTGCACATGTCTGTGTTTTAACAAAGTTGGAATTTTGTTACTCTTGTGATTTCATATCTTCATTGGGAATTTTC